AGTGAAACTAATTTTCTTTTGGTTGTTTAAATTTTAGAATAGTATGTCGCTATTATAGAAAAATATGTTGCTATTGTGGAACTAATATAACGCTATGTTTATATTTTTATAAAATTAAAGTGTTATAAATATATTTTTGTTATTTAATTATGTGAATCTGTGGTCCTAAACCGATCCAATCCGTATTTAAATGGATTGGTTCGGATTGGTTCCATGATTTAAACGGATTGGATTGGTTCCAATTTTTTAAGAACCGTAGATAACGGATTGGTCCTGGTTTTATCCCAATCCGGTCCAATCCGGACCATGCTCACCCCTACTCATAATCTTCATGGCTGTGGTGGAGGCCACCAGGAGTAAAATTCTAATTCCATCTTTGAGTGGGTGGTAGGATTAGATAGAGAAGAGAAGTCAATGCCAAGGCTGGTAAAGGTGGCAAATGGTGGTTAACAGTAAAGCTCCATCAATCAAGGGATTGTTTGGGATGACTTAAATAAGTGTACTTTTTATCTTTTTATGAAAAAATGTACAGAAAAGTAGAGAGATGATATGATGAAAAAAAGATAAAAAGATAAAAAGTATGTACTTATTTAGGGTAGCCAAACTTATCGTGTTCAAACAAAAATAATAAAATTCAAAATTAAGAATGAGGTGTTCAATAACATTTGGAGTGCGTTTAGAGGCAAAGAAAAATAAATAGAAAAACATTGAAGTGCATGTGGTTATGTATTTTGGTGTTAATTACTTTTACTCTTTTTTTTTTTTAATCCATTTGCAATTCCCTCTATAACTATCTGTATAAAGAAACGGGGCACCAAAAATTTTGTGTATGACATTAACTTTATCCAAAAAATACTTAAAATATATAATTAATTTCATAGAAAACTATGTTAATTTTTTATTATTCATTTATATGTAATTTCATATGTTCTTCCTTTGAGTTTCTTTTAATTGGAGTGAAAGATATAATAACACGTAAAAATGTTATAAAGCGAAGTGAAAGAAATGAAAATTTATTTATTTATTTATATGTTTAAGTTGTAATTTTTGAGACCAAAAAAATGTAAGAAAATTGAGAAATGCAAAAACAGCTAGTTACTTTTATGAATAAAAAATCATACATGTTTTGAGAAAAGGTAAAAGCCAAATTACCAATATGAGTTGCAGATAAAATTAATAACTTAGGCCTAGTTTGGGAAGACTAAATAAGTGCACTTTTTGACTTTTTATGAAATATGGGTTGGGTTTGAAGTGATATATTAGAGAGGTGATGTGACTTAAATAGGATAGTAACTTTTTAACTTTTTGTCTTTTTTCAATCTTCCCAAACTAGGCCTTAATTTGAAAATGAGTGAAAACGACTTGTTAGGCTGGTTGGTACAGTGAAAAAAACGAAAACAGCGTTATCTTTGTTTGTTGTTTTCTTGTTGGTTTGTTCGTTGCAACAAAGCAACACAAAGAGGACGACTTGATTAATTTAGTTTGATTTTTTCTACACAGTTTTGAAGTCGTATAAATTTATTGAGTTTGTGAAGGGTTAAAAATTAATGATTTTTAAAATGTGTATATTTATAAGTTTAATTTATTTACATAATAAGTCAATTTTAAACAAATCAAATTAAGTGATTTGATTCCTCTTACAACTTTATTTATTGGCAAGACAATAAGAAAACTTAAAACCTTTGTTTATTGGACTAATAGTTGAGAAATCAATGTGAATTCAGTAATACTATAAACTCAAACACATCAATCTAGAAATTATCTAGAATTAACTTGTACTTTAAATTTATTTTACATATAGACTCTACATTATATAAATTTAATCTCCATTACACAATCACTCACTGAGAAAATTTTTGACGGATAAATCTAGGATTGTGGACTTATTATTTATGTGAATTTGTTCACGTAGTGTAAACAAAACATACTCTCTCATTAGTGAATTTTATATTTTTTGTGGAACCATCTCCATTGATTTAGCTAATAAGAGAATGTATTTTGTTTCACACAGTATGTGAACAAATTCATTAAGAAACTTGGCGCCTAAATTGAAGTTGAATGATTAACAAAGAAGGATATTAATAAAATAAAATAAAAAATACAAAGAAGGTAAATGATTAAAACTCATAAAATATTACTTTTGAATTGTTTATTTTCTATTTGTTTGGGCGGAAGCTTTTTTTTTTTTTTTTAAAAAAAAAATTTACATCTTTTGATATTTGCTACAATAAAAAATATTTTTCGTAATCAACAACAATAAGTTTATTTGGATAGAAAACGTTTTTACTATTGCCTGGTAAAAACTTGGCTCGGCCAGGCCAGGCGCACCTGGACTCGGGCTCAGGCCGGCCTATGTCGGGCACTGCGGGCTCCAGCCAAAATTCGGGGCTGAGCCAAGCCGGTCCATGGGTTAGAAAATTAGGCCCAGGTCCAGGAGGTATTCGGGTTTTGGAAGGGCCGGTGGGCCTGGGCTCAAGCTTGGGTCAGCCTGAACATTTTTTTGTTTTTTTCACCAAAATTTTATTGTTTTCTATTAAAAATAATACTAGGTCTCGGGCAGACTGAGCCTCAGGTCGAGTTTTGAGTGGATCTTGAGCAGGCCGATGGGTTGGGTCATGGGACGGCCCAGGCAGACCGAACCCACGGGCCAAGTCGGGCTTCAAAATAACGACACAGACCCAGGCTTAGGCCCAAAGTCTCGGGTTGGGCCTAGGCCTAACTAGACCTACCAGGGCTAAGCCCACCCCGAGCCGCGAGTGAATTTCGGGCCACTCACGGACCGCAAGTCATTTTTACACTCCTACCTCTACCCACCCCCTTCTACCACCTCTACTTTTATTACCCCCCGCCACTTCCATTCCACCACTAATACAATAATTAATATATTAGTTTCATGATTGCAACTAAACTTAAGAAGCACTTTTTAAAAAATATTTTTTTGTAATTTTTTTGTTTTTATCAAAATAAACAAAGAGTTAGGAATTAACCAATTAAGAACCAAGACCAGATATGTCAATGTAAATAAATTTAGAGGTGATATTTAAAAAGTCATTGGCATTACTCAACAAAGAAATAGCTGAATCTATTTACATCAATTTTGAAGGGACAAATATCTATATTGAAATTATACCTTTTACTCGTAAATTTTTATTAAATTTTACTATAATCCCTCCTATTTTAACTGCAACTTAGCATTAAAAATCAACCAACTGAAACACACTCCTATTGTGGGTAAATTTAGCAGTAATGTCATTAGTTTCACATGTTTTTGAAAATACTTTTCATGAAAGTTTTTCATTGTTACAAAGAGAACCAACTAAACTCAACTCGTGATACATCAATTTAATAAATTTAGAAATAATATTTTAAGAATTTTTAGCATTACTCAACAACAAATCGAATCATCAACAACATTTGTACTTACGTGTGTGTGCGGTACAATTTGAATGGTTTGAAAGTAAAATTATAAACCGAATGTGGATTGATGAATAAGCGAATTGGCAAATCACGGTTTGAGAGATTTTAAACGGATTGACAGATTGAACAATATTTTAATCAATTATCAAGTATTTACATAATATATAATACTTGTACGGGGAGGAAATAATTCTCCTCGTATAATCCTGTTGACCAAGTCCACGCTTCTCCGAACGACGTCGCTTTGTCACCTGATTGGGCCGAAGTAGCTTTGTCTTCCCAAGGCCGGAGTAACTTTGCCCTTCTGGGCCGGAGTATTCTGTACGGCCTTTTTACCTAGTCCACTGCGTTTTGGGCCTCAAAACCAAACTCGAAGTTCGGCCCAATTTTCCCAAAAATTACCCTCTCAATACTAATTTGTATAATATTTTTCATATATATAACACAAATTAATTTTATATAATATTTTTATATTTATAACTATTAATTTATAACAAATTTCATATCTTAAATTTCTTACATTTATTTTTATTTTAATGTTTTATCAAAAATTAAAAAATATATATGTATTAACGTAAAATCTTAAATATTTTTCACTTTAATTTAGTTGACAATGTGTTAAAAAAAGCAGAACAATGTTGGATGATGATGTTACCCATGAGAATGAGGCCGAATGTGTATGAGTTGGACTTCAATTGGGTCTATTCTACAAGAGACAATCTGCCGGATCCCACTAGAGGCTGAGGATGAATCTCGGCCACAAGGGTGGTGTGCCCACCTCACCATAACCAACCATCCAATAAAACGAAAAACCAACAATCCTTTTTTTATCTTTAGTGCCAAAAACACACACACACAATCAAGTAATAAAAAGGGGAAATACCAATTCAGTCAAAGTTGAAAAAATAATTACATATCAATGGTAAACTTTATTATAAGTATTAAAATATTAAATCATAAACTTTTTATAATTGTGTAAATATTTTTTTGAAAACACACTAATGTGTAATTTTTTTTAAAAAAGTAGTCAGCTCTATAAGTTAGATACAAGTAGTTGCCTTATTCAGTATCCATGTGAAGATTCTATGAACAAATGTGTTATGAATCGAATCTGTCATCCCACCAACAAGAATTTTTTTATGACCCAAAAAAGTGTGATTTTTGAGTATAATATTTTTTATAAAAAAAATATGTAGTTATTAGGTTCAAATAAGAAATAAATTTTCATGTTTGACTATTTATTAAAAAAAAAGAAAAATATTATTTTTTTAACTAATTATGTCAAACTCGATTTTTTTTTTTTTTTTTTTTGGTTTGGTTTGCTTAAAATAACCACATCTAATCAATAAAATAACTTTTGAAGAATACATGGATCATTTTAGCCTCAAAAAGGACCGCCCTTTTGGTAAGGGCTGCATATTTGATAAGAATAATGTGGTCAGTTATTCTAAAAAATAAAAATAAATAAATAAAGAAGTTAAAAAAGGCCCACTAATTAAGAAATGTACTCAAAAAAAATGAAATAAGTTTTGTAGTGCTTTATCACTAAAAATTAATTTTATTTATCATACAATGTAATTATATTTATTATTGAATTTTATCTTAATTGTCGTATACTTTGATAAAATACTTATAACTAGAACTACCACTTCTCATGACACGATATGATCATCCTTATTAATTTGTTTTGGCTACCATACCCAAAGCCACAAGTTTTGAAAAAACAACGAACGGCCTAGACTTTACGTTGACCGCAAATATCCTCAATCCGATGCTAAACATACCCATCTAAGCAAATCATAGATAACAATTACTAATAGAATAACTCGTTCAACAAAATTTAAAAAAAAAAAAAAAACTACTAAAAGAATAAAATTGTTACCATATTTTTAAACGGGGGATGAGTTTAAACCCTTTTCACCACCATCATTATTGTTATTGTTGTTATACTTGCAAAGCATCTTGGACTTGAGCACATTGCCATAGAGATAAAATCCCGGTGTGACCATTATTTGAACCATGATTGGGACCAATTTCGGAGCTTTATCATTACCGCCGCCACTACCATTCATGTCTTCCATGTAAACCTCATCAAAAATCACACCCTTGTCCACTCTAAAGATGGTCAAGCTCGGGTGAACCGAGTTAGCCAAGTGGTGCACCAACCACACACCCTTGGCTGCACCGAAAAAGTCCCTCAACAGCTGCTCAGGCCACACATGGTCCCAACCCAACATAGCCACAATCTCACTCATCTTCCGGTCACAAAACATACTGAACTCTTCACTGAAATGTCTAGTGCCTTTGCTCAAAACTCCATCCCATGTCAGACCCTGCAACCGATTGAACGATGCGAAATTGGCTTCGCAACGTTCTATCGGATTCAGAATTTGACTAGGGGCACTTTTCTGAAACCCAATAGACTCGAAATCTTCGTAGAAAGCTTTGTTGAGCAGAGCTTCGAGGTAGAGAATCAAAGCTCTTGGGTTTTTGGAGAGAGAGAGATTGATATCGTAAGGTTGGAGGAGTAATGAGATTCGATCGAGGACTTTGGTAGTGCGCATTTGTCGCAGATGAATCGTGAGCGAACGACTCAAGAGTCGAACGCGAGACTGAGCTTCGGAGACCGAATCCATGAAGTGTTGGATCAAATTTTCACGATTCGTATGGTTGTTTGTGCACATTTCGAGTCCAGAATTCAAATTATGACAGTAGATCTTGAGATTGTTTAGCTTCTCCTCGAGTTCGGCCATGGAAGACTTGAGTCTCGAAGCTTCTAAAAGAGCTTCGTCTCGCTTTCTCGTCGCTTGAATGAGCTTCTGCGAAAGCTCCGCCGCAGCACTCTTCCACTGCTCCTCCTCCGGCGGCGGAATCCTAGGGCTCTTCTTCGTCAGAGAACAGAGAATGGATTTGAATAGGCCGTTAGGGCTCGAACTTGAGTGCCGCCTTGTGACGCCATTGTTGTCCAGAGGAACCACCGAGATCTTCTCGCGGTGGCTCGGCCGGCACTTGTAGCAGGAGACCCCATCGTCGCTGCCGTGGGAGAATTCCTGCCGCCGTCTCCGGCTGGAGGGTTGGTGGAGCGGAGTTGGGTGGTGCTTCGATTCCGCCTCAGCTTTGTTCGTATACCTACTTGAAGGTGCTTTGAAATCGCTACATTCTTCGAATTCTTCATCCTCGCATTCTTGAATCTGCACCCACGATAAAAACTATTATCAATGTAGATATGTATTTGTATATACAGAGATATAAATGTATGTGTTGATGGTAGTACTTACAGGGGTGAAGTGGGGAAGGTGGTGAGGAGGGGAGAGAGGGAGTTTGGAAGAAGAAGAGGTGGTCATGGTGTTCATTATCTCTTACCAAATTGTTTATAGATTTTATATATATATATATATATATAATAAAGTAAATTCAGTAGATGAATCATTAGTGGATGAAAAATATTATTAGAGTGTGTACGATAGGTATTGTAAGGTCTGAATGTCCTATATTGGAAATGGAATGGGAGTTATTGAATTATAAAAGTAAAAATTTACACCCTTATACAAACCTTTTCTTATGTGGTGAGATTTCTAGTAGAATTCCTCAGCTAAGCGTGTTTAGGCTGGAGTAGTTTTGAGATGGATGACCTACTGGAAAAAACAAATCTGTGCAGCGCGTGGCTCAAAGTGGACAATATCGATGGCGTGTGAAGGGTTGAGGTATTACAAATGGTACCAGAACTGACTCTCCGGAGTACAGAGTATGGGCCCCTAACATCTCTCGGTACATGTGGGCGAGCTTGTGAGCTAGCAGGGTACTGCACGAGATGTGTAGCCCTAAGAGGAGTGGATTGTAAGGTCCCAGTGTCCCACATCGAAAATGGAGGAGAGTTCCTGGCTATAAAAGTAAAAACCTAGATCTTTATATAACATTGAGGTCTTTTCCCGAGTAGTGAAATTTCTAGCAGAACTCCCCAGTTAAGCGTGCTTAAGTTAGAGTAGTTCTGAGATAGGTGACACACTAGGAAGAACAAATCCGCGCGAGCGTAACCCAAAGCGAACAATATTGATGACATGTGAAGGGTTGGAAATGGGTGACTCACTGGGAAGAATAAATCTGTGCGGACGTGACCCAAAATGGACAATATTGATGACATGTGAAGGGTTGGGACGTTACATGTATCTTATCCATATTTTTTGAGTCAAAACTAAAATTTATAACCAAACATAAAAAAAAAAAATTATAACCAAATATTTCAAAATAATATCATAACTAAAGAAAAAAAAATGGTTATAATTAAAGAAGAAAATGATGTAATTTTTTTTTGAATGGGTAAAATGATGTAATTAAGAGTGCATATAATGAGGAGTATGTATAATAAAATTCTCCTTAATCAATATGATATTAGTCTAGATGCAAATGCATTGTAATTTTTTATTTAGTAATTTGAGAAAATTTTGTTTAACAGTGTAGGATGATTTGATAAAGAGAAATGCTTGAGAGCTCGAAAGTCCTTAGGCTCGAGTGGTCCAAATTCAAAACGACGTCGTTTTGAATTTTTTTTTCCCTCTTTTATCTGTGGAACGAAACAGAGAGAGGGAGAAAGAGAGAGAAGAGAGAAGAGAGAAGAGGGAAGGAGAGCCGATCTTCTCACATTATCGCCGTCGACGTCGCCGCCGCCATTGTCTCTTCCTCTTCCGTCACTACTGCGATCACCACTATCGCCACCACTGCTGCAACCACCACTGTGTGTGCGTGTGTTTCATGGATTTGACTTCCAAATTTGTATATGTATGTGGGGGGGGTTTAATTTGTGGGTGGCTTTTGATTTTCCAGATCTTTGTGTAGGGGGGGTTTGATTTGTGTGTTTCATGGATTTTCCAGATCTGTATATATTTTCCAGATCTCCTCTTCTCTTCTTTTTTTTTTCTTCTTCTTCTGCGAGTTATGGAAAAAAAAAATAAAATGAAGAAGAAGAAGAAGAAGTCAAAACAACATCGTTTTGGGATTTTAGACCATTCAAGCCTCTAATTTTTCAAGCTACCTAGCGAGACTCTTTGATAAATAAATAAAAGAAAATGAATAGCTACTGCATGTAGAAGGCAGCTATTGCATGTAGAAGGCATTCTAAAAAAAAAAGACAAAAACGAAAACAAAAAACAAATTTTACCTCTTACCCGTGTTTTGTTACTATTTTATATCATCACGTGAATATTTATGATTAATTTAAGTTTAAAAACTATTATTCAGAAAATAATGAAAGCAAATTTTATGATACTATATACTCAATAGGATAAAATGATAAAGAAAAATAAATGATATATAATCATTTAAAAAAATAAAAATAAATAATTTTTTATAGTAATATGCTCAATGATAATATAAAGGGAAAATTAGTCTAGAGTCCCTCTCCCACTTTTCGTAATGGAAGAGATCCACAAAATTATTTTTTGGTGTCTAAGGTCCCTAACCATATCCCCTCTTTGTCTCTCCTTCCGTGCCCGATCTAAACGAAGAGCTAACCTCTCCTTTTGAATCCTCTAGGGATGAAGATAATGACGTTGCTGTTTCTCATGATATCGAGAAGAATCGATCCGTCAACCACCAACCACCAACCACCACTCCTCTCTTCTTCTCACCGTAACCATTACCCGCTTCGACTGCAGCTCCTTCGCCATCCCCAGCTTAGGTGACCTACCCCCTGTCATCCTCGTTGCTCTGTCGTCCCTGCATCACCATCACCACAATCTAGATCTGGAAAACCTATATCTCTTCTCCCCATCGCAGGCTCGCATCAACACTGCGCCAACATCACCATCGTTGCACCATCACGGCCGCCCAAATCTCTCTATTCTTTTTCTCCTATATCTGGAAAACCCAGATCTCTCTCTCTCTCTCTCTCTCTCTCTCTCTCTTGCACACTCATGTGCGTTTCTTTATTCTCTTTTTCTTTCACTACAACAAAACAGTGGTGGCAGATAGAGGCCGCAGGGGGTATGGAAGGGCAGATGGAGCTGCGATGTTGATTGGGGAAGGAAGGGGGTCATCGAAGGGGGTCATTCGGTGGCTTGAATGCGAAGGTCACATTAAACTCGAGTTCAGGCTCAAATTGTTGACGTGGTTTAGCTTGAGATCGACAGAACAGGAATGAAGGGTTGTCAACACCTTCATTCAAACTATGATTGAATCAGCAGTAGCAGAACTAAAGACAAATTGATCAAATCAGAGTTTTATAATTCCAGAGAAATTCTGGACCAGAGAAATTTGAATTTTCTCTGGGTTGAACCCAGAGAAATTCATAGCATTAAGTTTAAAGAAAATCTATCACAAACTCATAGAAGAACTATTAATTTGTTTGTGCAGGAAATTGTGATTGAATCAGCAGCAGCAGAACCAAAGACAAATTGATCAAATCAGAGTTTTATAGTTCCAGAGAAATTTGAATTTAACCTAGAGAAATTCTTTGGAAGTCCAGAATTTCTTTGCTTCCAACTGATGATGGGTTTCTTTGCTTCCAACAGTCAAAATTGAACTGCTTATACATACTCTCTCTCTGTCTCTCTCTGTCTCTGATTGTTGGGTTTGATTACGGAGCTGGATGAGTTTTGAATAATCTGGAAAGTTATTGGCCGACCCATTTCTTTAGCCATCTCCACCATCTCTTCCTCCAACGAGTGCAGCCTCTTCTTTTCCAACTTTCTCTGGATTTCCAGCAAGAGCAATGGTTGCTTGAAGAAAGGGTTGCTACGTTGTCTGGAGAAAATTTCTCTGGAAAGTCCAAAGAAACAGAATTTCTCTGGACCAATTTTCTCTGTGACGTGAATTTTTTCTAGACCAATTTTCTCTGGATCAACTTAAGGGACCTTAGACATTATGAAAATATTAGATGTCATTTATCCTATAAAATCTTAATACAATGGACCTTTAAAAAAAAACCCTAATATAAAATAAATAATTTAAATCATGTACAAATACTCAATTACAAGATAAATTGAATACATTAACAACCTAGTAAATGGACATATTCTATTCTTAGGGATTTAATTTGCATCATCCGAATAACTCAATCTGTAATAAAGGCTATTAATATAGTAGGTAAAGTTGATTGGTACATACCACAGCAAATCTTTGGTTCAGTTTATATATTACCTTATTTTTATTTTTAATAAAATTTTAAAATCTTAAGTCAATTTTTATCTATTTATTTAGATATGTCATGTAAGAATTAAAAACATGTAGAATTTTTTAAAATGAAATAAATCAAATTTTATATATTCTTTTTGTTAAAAAAAGTCAATGTATTTTTTATTTGAACAAACAACGAACCTACATCTCCATGCCCAAAAAAATGGGTATGTTTGGCAAGAGGGTTTGTGGTTATTTTAGCCCCAAAAGATAAAATAAATTATTTTAGTCACAAAAAATAAAACATCACATCCAACCCATAATCATTACTCTCTTTTCTCACAAAAAAGTTAAAAAAATCAAAAAGTCAAAAAATCCTTCCCAAATCAAGTTTTTTAGCCTAGTTTTTTAGCCCATGCTAAAATAGTAAAAAAAAGTCAAAAAATTAAAAAGTCAACCCACTTCCCAAACGAAGTCATAATGAAAAATAAAAAGTTAAAACTACAAGTGACATTTAAATTGTGGGGGGTGAGAATGGCATTCTTAAAATAGCAACATGAAGTGATGTAGGCTTTGTACATATTTTTTGGCATAATCTCCTTTAATTTATTTTTTTTATCTTTTTATTTTATTTGGGTTATATCATTTTTTATTTAAATTATATCATCTTTCTATTACTTTGTACATATTTTCGTAAAAAATCAAAAAATAAGAGCTTGTTTGGGAAGAATATTTAGGCTAAAATAACCAAGACAAAATAGGCTATTTTAGCCAAAAAAATAAAATATCACATTCAACCGTTAATTATTTTATTTTTTCTTTTACAAAAATAAAAAAAATCAAAAAGTCTATTCCAAACAGGCTAAAATATCCAAAAAGTTAAAACGTCAAAAAGCTAACCCACATCCCAAATGAGTAAATCATCACAACAAGCCAATAGAGAAAAAGCAAAAGTGTAAAAAAAAAAAAATTCTAATTTATCCCATTCCGGATATGATTCAGGGTAGGATGGATTCTACAAAACCGACCCTGTTCCGTTTCCATTCCTTTGTTTTTTATTGTTTATCATTCTCAGAATTTATGAAGTTGGTGGTGGTAAGGGAAGTTGCAGCATTCATGGCATTATAATATGATGGAGCCCCAAACTCAGAGCCCCAACCACCCCTTATTAAATTCCCTGATGCGGTGACTGAACTCCATGTGAAACAACTAGCCCACCACCAGACAGAAATAGTGAGTACGGGTGTGAAGTCAATAACTGAGACTAATCGCAATGAAAAATGTTTGGGAGCACTAATTAGTGCTCCTACTAATTCGGTGG